AAGTGTGGTTCGCATCGCATTTACTAATATTACCGAAAATATTGTGAAAATACTTTTTTGAGAGGGTTTTATTGAATGGCATTATTTTAAAAGAAAATTCAAAGATTATCATCCACCACAATACCGTCTACCTAGTTATATTAATTATAATTGTGTCTGTGTGTATATTTTGTTGTAATCCAGTGCACTAAACGTGACCCAGATGCAGTCTCTTGGTAGATTGAGTTCATGTTACCATGTACCGTCTTTACTGATTAGTTTGACATGGAATGCAATCCATGTGATAATTTATTGTTTCACTTATTACAAGGGCATTGTGGAGATCTTTATTTAATTTATTGGCCAGTACCATTCCACCGTTATATGAAAGACCTCTACAGAGGTAAGTTAACTGCAAGAGGCGGCAAATTCCAGGATCTTACTCTTTCTACTTCTTATTATCATCTCTCTGTCGCCTTTTTATATTTAGGAACTTCAAGGAAGCGCATGTTAAGTCATTGTTTGCTGCATTTCTCTTGCTACCTTATCCTGGTTGCCCTTTTGATTTGTGATCGTTTCTTTTTCAGGATTCTTCGCTTCCAAAACTGCCCACTGTCGCTGATATACTGAACTCACTCAGGTTAGACTGATATAAATAGAATGAAATGGGGTACTAGACTCCATGAATAATTGTATTAAATTAGATAGTGAGAAGACAAAAAGACCCTTGTATGTTCTGATTTGATGGCATTATACTAAAGTGCAAATCCGTCTTTTCCTAAGATACAATAATTTATTGCTCGTGCACAGGTGTAAGGGACTTTTGTTTAAGTTATCACAAATAACTTCAGTAGATCATCAAACCCTTGGAATATCAAAAACTAAATACTAAGTATAATACCATCAAATTGGAACATTCAAGGGTCTTTTTGTCTTTTCACTATCTAATTTAATACAACATAATGCACTCCAAAACCATGTAATTTTTTTTCCCTTCTGTAACCTCCCTCGGCATGTTTCAGGCTCGTACCAGAATCACATGAAAATCTTGAAGAATTTGTTGCAAGATTTTTTCAGGACCTGCCTTGTGCTCCAGTTATTTGCATTAGCTTGATTTCAGGTGCTGATGCTCGTCTGTTGAGAGAACTGTCGTGTTGTCCTTCGGCGGTTGAAGTATGGATTCTATTATCCCATTTGAATTCAGAAAATCAGCATGTAATACTTCTGCCAGTGAATTCTATATTGGAAGGTATATAAGTTCAGAATGCATGGAAATTGTAATGTTACGTGTTTCCTTTGAAATTTAGAATATCTACTTGTTGCATTAAGATGTCTTTATTTTATGTTAGGAGTTTCAGACGATGACGTGGACTCCAGCTCATGTGCCTCATTCAAAGGCAAAGATTTTGTAAAGAGTTGGAAGTGTCCTTGGGTTACCACTGTGGTAGATTACATAGCCCCAAGATTCAGACAGATATTGGAGGGGAACTACTACTCATCCTCTGGACATTTCCAAGAGGATACAAAAGAGAGTAGATTATTGTGGTGGAAGAAAAGGAACAGACTCGATAAATGCCTCTGTAAATTTGTACAGTAAGTTCCCTTCTGAAAATACATATAAATAACTTTGCTTGTGAATCAGGGGAAACTGCTGTCCATTTTCTTTTAAATTTTGTTGATTTAAATTACAGATAAATTTTGATGGAATTTTAGTGTATGCCTTGAACCCCTCCCTTATGGTAAGAATTAAATGCCTGCTTAGTTATGTGCACTTCTTGGGAAATCTTAGGTTATGGCACCATATTTTACTAGCATTATGGGGATCTTTACTTTATTTACAAAATAAAAAATTGATTAAGCTACAGGAGATAAATTGTTGATGGAATTATAACGTATGCCTTGAATCTCATTTTTATGTAGTTGTAGTGATGGTAAGAAACTATTTTCTGCTCTGCAGAAGAAAACTTGGTTCATAGCAGCATATTTTCTTAGATTATTTACCTAACTTTATGATTTAATTAATTTTATGCTAACTTATCTTCATGGATCAGAGATGTGGAAGATCATTGGTTGGGTGTTTGGAAATATGTGCTATCGGGAGAATGGCCAAACCTCAAACATCTGGATTCCATAGAAGAGGGCCTCTGCGAAGAAGAGAAACGTGTTCTACGAATTATCTCGAGTAAAAATTGCTATCTTGATATCAGATCAGAGGCGTCTAAAGTGTCTGTTGATATTGATAGCCTCATGCAGTTAGTTTTCGAAAAAATACATGCAACACCAGACGATGTTGATAAGGTTGAATGCGTGAAAAGAAGTCCAGTTATTTTGGTTTTGGATTTCGAGGTTCAGGTACACCCAGTTCTTAATTCCTATGTTACGATGTTTGTCACCGTTCATATCTGTTTTGTCAAGATGTTTGTCATGCTGAATTCACCTGGTATTATTTTATGTGAGGCATTTTGTAGTATATAATCAATTAGTTTGCTTTTGTCTCGAATAATATTTTAGTTGGCAATATCACCATGATCCTTGCTGTCATACTCTTCTGCTTTTATTATAAGGTTAGTTAAGCAAGGTTTATTGTTCTCTGCAGATGCTGCCATGGGAGAATCTGCCAATATTGAGAAACCAAGAGGTTTATCGCATGCCCTCTGTTGGAAGCATTGTTGCAACACTTAACAGATATTGCCAAGACCAGGCTATAGCCTTTCCATTGATAGATCCTGTAGACTTATATTATTTATTGAATCCGGATGGTGATCTTAACCATACACAGGTTGAATTTGAAAACTGGTTTCAAGATCAGAATTTCGAGGTAATCCTAATTTTGATTTCTTATGAACTTAATTAAAAAGGACTTGCCAATTTGCAATTTAAGCCTCCTCTTCTATTGATTGTGCAATTTTTGCCGGACATGGTTTTCTCACCTCTGTATTCTGTTAATTGAGGATCTGAATTGACTTTGCGATGCAGGGAAAATCTG